GAGAAGAGAGAGAGAGAGAGAGAGAGAGAGAGAGAGAGAGAGAGAGAGAGAGAGAGAGTTTGTTTGGTAACTGCTTTAATATATATAGGGTCCATTAGTTGAGAAAAATAGGAATTCAACGTGGAGAAGAATCCACGAACATGCGCTGAGTCCGTCAAATGGAGAGAAAATCGTAACTGCCATATGATCGTGGCGAGCGTGATATATGGTGTGACGTGGGGCACAAAATTCTTATCTGTCCCGGTCGTAGCATGAGACATGTCGAGGGGCACAAAACTCAACTTGTCCCACTCATAACACCCTTGTGGCGGGTGGCACGCCTTCTGGTGCAGGAAGTGCTGAAATGCTTCAAAAAGGCCATTTGAACTTCAGTTTTTCATTGTTTTTCTTCCTTTTCTCATTTATGCCTTGCAAAAGCTAAGTACCTGAAATATGTTGCAAATACTACAAAAAGAGATAAAGTGTGACTTAATAAACGAGGAATTGGAAATTTAATCTATGTAAATCGGGCGGAAAATGCTATGTCTTTTCGTGTTATCAGATGATCATGGAGATACCAGTAGTGCTCTTGGAGAAACCAGTGCTTCAGAAGATACAAGTGCTCCTGAGGAGAAAACAAGGAGGGAGCACATCTTGAGGAGAAATGAGCCACAAAAAGTTAGATATTATCATGGCAGGCTTGTCATTTGGCCCGACTCTGGATCGTAAGTGTTCATATATGTTTAATATTATTTTAAATTTGATTTTTATTTAATCAATTCTAAATCAAGATTTTGGTGTTTAGGATCTTCCCCATCAGGAAATATCGATCATAACAAGCATTATTAAAGAGAAGTATGCAAAATTTTGGCCGAGTTATGGAGTTGTACTTGAAGATGACAGAAAAGATTGGTTTAATGAATTTAAGGTATATTTTTTCCTTTATATTTTTCCTTTATATTTTTTTTAATATTTTTCCTTTATATTTTTTGAGATATTCATGATTCTTGATTGCTTAATTTTGAATTTCATACAACAATGTAGGAGAAGTGTTGTTGGGATGTTAGAGATAACGTCCAAATTGAAGAAAATTTTCACTCAAAATGCAGTGCCCGATTTTCCGACACCATGAGGAATGTTAGAATTAAATGGGAAAAAAAAGAAACTTCCATGTTGGATAGGAGTATAAGTATTTAAATATCTTATTACCCATTGGTATTCTGAAAAATTTAAGGAAATATCTAAAAAGGCAAAGAAAAATAGAGCATCTGAAGCTGGTGGCTGCAACTACGCATCGGGTAATATTAGTGTTGCTGAAGTTGCACGAAGGATGGTACGTAAGTTTAATTATTTTTTAATTAATTTATCATTTAGATTTTAGATTACATATAACTAATTATTTTTTTACTTATTTAATTAGCGTGAAGAGTTGGGTAGAACTCCACTTCTTAATGAGCTCCATCTAGAGACTCATCTAAAGAGAAATGGAGAGTTTGTTGACGAGCGCGCAAGAAACACTCAAGTAAGTTTTTCTTATATTAAAAACATTTTATTTAATTTTCTTATATGGACCTAGCTTATTTTAAAGATTATAACAATTAAAAAAATTGTAGGAGGAGTTTGATAGACAACTTGCCCTACAGTTGTCAGAGCATTCTGAACTTGAACCACCACTGAGATATCCTATTGATCCTGTTATGGGTTTTCGGACATGGTACGATGTTTCAGGTGGAAGAAGAAAAATGGGAGAGTGTATGATAATGGAGGGTACTCCGAAACTATCAAGCGGCGTGATAGGAGTTTTAAAATGAGACTTGTTGATGGAGAAGGAACATCAACTCCACCTATATTAACCTCCGAAATGCTTAAAACTGTGAGAAACTTGGCGAATACTGAGGCAGCAATCCAAGTAGCAGCAAGAAATACATAAATTGAAGAGATGAAGAAAAAACAATTAGAGATGCAACAAGAAATGCATAGAAGAGAAAACGGAGTTGCGAGAAGAAATGAGAAGGCAAACACAAGAGTATCAAGAAGCAATGTGGATTGCAAATGAGCGGGTTCAAAGATTTGATCAATTTTTTGCTTCACAAAATTCTGGTGGTGGATTTGGAGGAACTAGTGGATATGGAGGAACTGTTGAAGAAGAAGAGCAAGGAGAAGAACAAGATGAACAAGAATAAAATATTTAAATTTGAAATTTTGATGTTTTAATTTGTATGAAATAATTTTTGTTAACTATTTTGAACTTGAGAACTTTATTTTATTGTAATTTGTATGAAGTTTTATTTTAATTTTTATTATGTTTGATTGAATTTTAATATTATATTTATTATATTAATTTTATTTTAATAATATAATTTTATAAAACTATTATTGGTTTTTAGTCTATTAATATCAATTTTTTTATAAAAAATTTAACAATTTGATAGGGGTTTATCCCCTCGCAAATGATAAGCGTTTACATTTTGCCACGGACTTAACCCCAAGCAAATTTTCTGACGCACTCAGTCACCATAGCCTGCGCCTACGCATGCACGTTGCAGGCTGTAAAAAACAAATTATATTTAGCGAGGGGTTAAACCTCTGGCAAAATATCCACGTGTATAGTCCCTCACAAGTAAACTTACGATCCTTGTTAGGGGACCAATCCCCTCACAAAATTCCTATTTGTGAGGAGTTTTTTCCATTTGTGAAGGGTTAAGCCCCTGATAAATAACGTTTTTAATCATGGTTCTCCTAGGACATATACATCGGTCATTGGTTGATTGAGGTGAACGTTTTGTCATAAAGTGTATTGTTACTAGTAGTTGTAATGATATCAAGCGCGAAGGTTGAACTTTCTTTAAAGTAAACATTTATATCCCCTAGGAAGTAGATGGTAGCATTCGTTGTTCACTTCCAAACTAAAAAATTAACTAGGGTTAGCGTTGACGATAGCAGAACCCAGAGAAAAATAATTGATTTTGAATCTTGCTTGGAAAAGATAAAACTGTTATTATATTCTCAACTATTAGGGACTTTAGAGTGGAATAGTAATAAGTTTGTTCAAGGAGGGTCGAAACAAACTTTAACTAATATGTGTTGGAATAATATAGCAAGTGTGAGTAAATGGGAAATAGTCTCACATTGAATAGGAATGTGGAGACTTGGTAATATATAAGTGAGAGAACTCACTCACTTATCACCTTAAAGTTTTAAGTGGATAAGTGGTGTGTCTCCCACAAAGGTGCATAATCCTCAACTTTATATCAATGTTTCCTAATAACTTTTGAAGATTATAAAGAGAGAATGTCACTCGTTCGAAACAAAAGAAAAACATTATAAGAACATTAATTATTTGCCCAACTAATAAACTTTTGTAAATTATTTGATGATCGGCCACCTTCAACTATACTATTGATTGTCATTTTTTAAATTTTCAAACACATTTTGTTTATGTCATCAACACCAAGTACTTGATCCACCTTCTTCCTTATCTCTTGCCTTGATATAAACCCCTTATCATCCTTCTCTAATTCAAGTCCAATTTTCCACACATCACAAATATAAGACTTATTAAGAAACTGATCAGTCAAAAATGGCCAACACAAAAAAGATACACCAACATGTACACCTTCTATGGTAGAATTCCAACCACAATGACTAAAAAAACATGCAATTGCTGAATGATTCAATATTTTTCTTTGTGGTGCCCAACCAGCAATTTTACCTTTACTTCCATGAAAATCATTAGGGTATGTATAGTTTACCTTGTTGTCATTACTAGGACGAACAACCCAAAGAAAAGGCTTGTCAAGAAGATCAAGTCCTAGGTCTAGTTCATTAAACTGGTTTTGTTCCATTTCTACCAAACTACCAAAGGAAACATATATTCATATAAACTTACTCTAATATTTCTTTTACATATTTTGTAATATCAAATGCTTTAAATAAAAGTAACTTAATTTTTTTTTTGAATATTAGTCAGGAATATTATCTGCACATAATTACAAAGATTAATCTCTCACGTCATTCAGAATCTCTGATTAAACTGGAAAGAGACTATGTTAATAGAATATACTTTGAAAAATCGATATACAAATAACCTAAAAGTCATGGTTGGTGGATTTGGAAATGTCAAATATTTAAATTTTCTATTAAAAAAATACGTTTCTAACTGTAAAGGTAATTTTGTAATTTTGATTGCATCATGGCTAAGAAAAATCTAAATTTTTTTGGTTTTGCCCTTCCATATTTTGTTGAATTTCTTCTCCATTCAAACGTACTGAAATTGGCAACTTTTAGTATGTTTATTCTAATGTTTTAAATTATGGACGGGTTATCGATTCCATTAAATTATTGGGGTATCGATTCTATGAATTTATTCATGCAAATAAATTAAATAATAATTTTAAATAAAATTTCAACTTTTAAATATAATAATTTGTTGAAGTTCATAAATTAACGAAAATCGGAAAAATAATTGCATGTTATAATAATACCATAAACTATTATCTAACATAAACAATTATTATACTTTATATAAAAAATAAAAATAAAAAATAGAGTAGAAAAATAAAAATTTATAACCAAAAATAGTTAGTAAAATTAATGTGACTTTTACTTAAAAATAATAACGAGATTTATACTTAAAATAATATGAAAATTTAATTACATCTTCCTTTGGTATCTTAAACCTTTTTTCCGAATATTACGATTCATAATGAAAATGATGTGAAAATATAATTTCATTTTTTTTTTTTTTGTAATATGACCTTTTTTTTAAACGATTGTTAATTTTAATTTTCTAATTTAATTTATTATATTATATAATTATTTATAAATAAGTTTAATGAAAAAGAGAGAAACGATGTAATTATAGAATATATAACTATTTTTTTTTACCAAATCAAACATCAAAAAAATATGGTGCCATTGGTAAAACTACAATTCTAATAATTTTAAAAGGTTAAAGATCTGACTCTTAAAATTTAATAAAATTTCATTTTTGCAATTTTAATATTATTTAATTATTATAAATAATTAACAAAATTATAAATTTTAATAAATTAAATTTAAAAATAAGAATATCAAAACTTAAAAAAATGAAAATAGACTGAGCAGAATTGTAATTAAGCTAAAAAAAAATAAATATATAAAGATTATCTCGTCGAATCAAGAAATTCACAAATTCATTTATGTGATCAATGAACCGACCAAGTCACACTGGATTTCACTAGGTTAATTACAACTACATCCTATGATTTTATCAGACCATTCTATCATCAAACTCATAGTCCAACTAATCCCATTAGTCAAAATGGTCTGAGTTTAAAAACACTTGTTTATTGATTTTTTTTTCCCACGTCTTAATTGCTAGTGTTAACATTATTCGAATTGTTAAAAAATAAAAACATCAAATTCAACTATGTGATTTATATTAGATTTATGTTGCAAGTCTCTGCGACAAAATGATCAGTTAGATGAAAATAACATGGTAACAATTTTAAAGCATGTATTTATATTAAGTTTTGGATTTGAATCGCCCCCACCAATAGTAACAATTCATGACTATTGGAAATGTAATTTAGTTAATGTCTATAATTTTCAATGCTTATTCTTTATTAGGGCCTTTTGGCATTTTCTATTTTAGTATAAATATGTTACCTAGACGATCAATATTGTAACTCATTCATTCCTCTATTTGATATACAAAAGTAGTCCTCTTTGTTATCATTCATTGTTCATTCTTCTTCTCCCTTTCATTACCTTGCACCAACAAATTGGTATCTAGAGCACTTGATTCTGTTTTTTCCTGAGAAACACGAGTGTTTGTGAGATGTGTGTTTGATTTTGGTTCATTGATTTTATGTTGAAATCTTGAACAAAATCTGAACAAAATTTAATTTTGTGGGTTGGGAAACAGTGTGTTTGAAGATCTGAAAAATCCGTGCAAGGTTTAAAATGAGTGGAGACGGTAGTTTGAACACCAAACTTCCAGTTTTTAATGACAAAAACTAGAACAGATGGATGATACAAATGCGTGTGCTGTTTGGTGCACAAGATGTTCTGGATCTGGTTACAGATGGTTATGTACCAGCTGCAGTAGATGCAACTGAAGAACAGAGAACTGCTGAGAGGATGATGAGGAAGATGGACCAGAAAGCTCTGTTCTATATCCATCAGTGTATGGATGAAAGTGTGTTCGAGAAGATTACTGATTCGACAACATCTAAAGGGGCGTGGTATTTATTGGCGAGATGTTATGGTGGTGACGCATCAGTAAAGAAGGTGAAGTTTCAATCCCTACGAAAGCAATATGAGAACCTGAACATGAAGAGAAGTGAGGAAGTTTCTGAATATATCTCCAGAGTGATTCTGATCACTAACGAGATGAAGGCGCGTGGAGAAACTCTGTCTGAACAGGTAATCATAGAGAAGATTCTGAGGTCGCTTACTCCTCAATTTGATTATATTGTTGTTTCCATTGAACATTCTAAAAATCTGGAAACCATGAGAATAGAAGAATTGCAAAGCAACTTAGAAGCATAGGAGTTACGTCTGTCTGAGAGAACTTCTGAGAGGGAAGCTGAGCAGGCTTTGAAGGCTTCTTTTGTCAAGAAAGACCAGAAGCAGAATAAACGTGGTGATAGATTCCAGAAGTCAGAAGCCTCAACTTCTGATGATAAGAAATATCATAAAGGAAAGGAGAGGTATGGCAAAAGGAAGGTTCAATGTTACTCTTGTAAACAATTTGGCCATTTTTCCAAAGATTGTAGGTCAAACAAGGAAAGGAAGTCAGAAGAAGCAAATATAGCAAGAGGAGACTCTGATGATGAACCTGTGCTATTGTTGGCTTCTGAACCTGATGATCTGAATTCATCAGAATGATGGTATATGGATACAGGGTGTTCAAACCATCTTACTGGAAACAAGAAGTGGTTGGTTGACTTTGACTCTGGGAAGAGTACAAAGATCAGATGTGCTGATGACAAATACCTTAATGCAGAAGGTATGGGAAATGTCATAATCATTATAAACAATGGGAAAGCAGCTGTGATCCAGAATGTTTGGTATGTACCTGGCATAAAAAGAAATCTGATGAGTGTGGGACAACTGGTTAAGAAAGGTTTTTCAGTTACCATGAAGGACAATCTTTTGAAGCTGTATGACTGTAATCAAAAGCTGATTCTGGAGTCAGAACAGGGAAGGAATAGAACATTCAAGGTGAATGTTAGAACTGCAGACTTTGAATGTCTTAGTACAACAAGTGTTGTCAAGGAGAGCGAGCTGTGGCACAGAAGATTTAGTCATCCGAATTTCAGAAGTTTAGGGCATTTGAAATCAAAGAATTTGGTATATGGAATTCCTACAATCAAGAAGCCTGAAAAGTCATGCAAGGTGTGCATGGAAGGGAAGCAACCAAGATTACCCTTTGCATCAGAATTTGATGAGGAACCAGTGAAATTGTCATTTTCTGATTCTGAAGGGGAAGAAGAATATGACTCTGAATATTCTGAAGGAGTGATTTTGTATGAGTCAGAATCAAAATATGACTCTGAGTCAGAATCAGAAGATGACGCTGAAGATTTTAAAGATGAGTCAGAATCTGAGGTTTTTGAAGACGAGTTAGAGTCAGAAGATGACTTTGAAGCTGAAGACAAGTCAGAATCTGAAGGTGATTCTGAGTCTGAAGAAGATTTTGCTTCTGAAGAAGAGTCAGAAGATGATGACTCTGGAAACTCTGAAGGTGAGTCATATGGTGAATCTGATTCTGATCCAAATTTTGATGATGATCCAGAATTTGGTGGTGATCATGCTTATGGAAGGAAAAACTCTAAAGACGTAGGTTCTGGAGGACAAGCTTCTAAAGATGATCAAGTTTCTGGTGGAAATCATGACTCTAAGGATGAACCTTATGAAGGAGGAGCTTCTGAAGGAAATTCAGCCTTTGGCGACGATCATGATTCTGAAAGTGGAACTTCTGAAGACAGAGGTGATCCAACTTTTGAAGATGGTATTTCTGAAGGTAGTGGCTCTGACTCTGATGATGATTTAGACCCTAGGAATTTTCAAGACTCTGAAGACAGTCAAGATTTTGGGGAAAGTCAAAACTGTGAAGCAAGATCTTCTGAAGGGGGAAGTTATGGTGTTCAAAGTTCTGAAGATCTTGTTTAGAGGCAACAAAGAGTCAGAAGCATCCCAAGAAGATTTGTTTTGTTTGACATGTTGCTAGACACTGAAGTAAACTCTGAAGGAGAAGTTATTCAGTGTGCTTTCCGAATTCTGAGATATATCAAGGGAACTCTGAGATATGGAGTGTTGTTTCCTTTTGAAAGAAAGACAGAATCAGAATTAGTAAGTTATTCTGATTCTGACTGGTGCGGAGACAGAGTGGACAGGAGAAGTACTTCTGAATACTTGTTTAAATTTCTGGGAGGTCCCATTTCCTAGAGTTGCAAGAAACAGTCTGTCGTGGCTCTGTCAACATGTGAAGCTGAGTATATCGCAGGTGCTGTAGCTGCTTGTCAAGCATGTTGGCTTCTGAATCTCCTGTATGATCTGAAGGTTGAAGTTGAGGAACCTCTGGAGCTGATGATTGATAATAAGTCTGCAATTGATCTTTCCAATAATCCAGTGCTACATGGAAGAAGCAAGTACATTGAGACGGAGTATCACTTTCTCAGAAGTCAAGTTCAGAAAGGAGTGTTAGAAGTTCTGCATTGTAGCACTCAGAAACAGCTTGCAGATCTTCTGACAAAGGCAGTTAAAACAGATCAATTTCTTCATTTGAGAGATGAAATTGGTGTTGTTAGTTTCTGATAGAATATCTAAATTAAGGGATGGTATTGAAAATGTAATT